CTTTATTCTCATAATATTACACCTTCATTCTCGTAATGTGACGACTTTATTGTCGTAATGTAACTACTTTAATCTCAAATAAAAAAATTAAAAAAATCTCTAACCTGGCCCTAATACCCCGTCAGTAAGAGACGAACATACATTTTCATTGCACTGGAAATAAATCTGCTGCTACAGTATCTTTGTCTTTTATTACATTTTTAATAATTTCAACATGTTTCTATTATAAGAGATTCATTTAGGATAAAACAGTTATCTTTATATACATATATAAGATGATCATCAAGACAGTATGAGAAGAAGCAGAAATAATCAGTTTGACAACGCTTCAAATAATTTATGTACAACTTTGGATTATGAATATTTTTTTTTATATTTCTGCAATCTGAGGGCCTCATTCACCTTCACTGCAGGAGTGATGTAATCTAGTGGTAATCCTCTTGAAGCTGCATTTTAAGTTTATGGGGTCTGAAGCGCAGGATAATGCCCATGCCCGGCCTCACTGTGTGACAGCAGCTGCGGTAGTGTATTGGAAAGCTGAAGACTGCTTATGTAATTTTTTAGATAATCTCAGATATACTGAGGGAATATTTGGGTCATGTGTTTACTGCAGATAAAACAAGGGTGGTCTGTTGTGTCCATTAACTACAGAGAATGCCTCTGTTTAAGGAGCGCGATGCTATGGCTTAAAGAGGAAAAGACTGAGAAGCCACAGTGAAACAAAGCTACGCATTAAAAAGATATGGATCAGCAGCAAGCTTTACCCCCAATTTAGTTCAGATTGAATGCATATCCATCCACCTTTTTCATGCTGCACACAGATTAGCTATATTACATGCTAGCAGGAGCTAGTCATAGCTGCACCATCCAGGAAACAACTTGTAGCAGATAATACTTAGACTTCTGTCTGAGCTTGTAGAAAACCTGTTTGCAGAAAAGAAAAACTTCTATTACCACATTTTATTCCTTATCCGTTTTCCCTCCATCCATTCGTTTTGTTTTGTCACTACTTCCAACTTGTCTATTCTTCCTTCTTTCAGTCCATTCCTTTGGCTATCCATCAATGCACCCTTCTGTCCGTTCATCTTCTCTTTATACATCTGTGTTTATTTAAACTCCGACTAATTTAGAAATACCTGGCATACATCCTGCTTTTATCGTTTTGTACTTTAAAAACAAAAACTCTTATAAAAATAAAGTGGAGTTAAATGTGAGAACCTTGGTTGCAGATGGAGTAAAATGTAGTGACACCCAAAAAAAGCTGATTTAAAGCCCTGCTGAAGTTAATCTCATTGCCAGATGAATGCAGTAGCAAAGTCACATGACCCTCACGATTTTCCTTCTGCGCAATTTGAAAGGGGTCTAAACGAATCATGTGTAACATAAGCCCAGGTTTAATAAAGCCTGGGATTAATTCCCTCAGTATTTCTGCAAAGCTGCTGCACAAACAAAACAAAGTACTTTCACCCTAAATTCATTTATCCAGGATTGTTTTTGGGTTGCTTTTCACATAACGGGGGTGCAGTCCACCCTGGTCGGATCACTTCAGTGCAATAAAAGCAGAGCTCAGACATCCTCTTAACATTTCTGAAACTGAGCCTAAAGCATTGGCTTGGCTTTCCCCAAAGAGTACTGATTAGTTCCTCTCTGTAGTATCCATCATGAACAGGGGGTGGCAGCAGTGGACTGTCCCAGTTGTCCTGCTTCCTTCCTCTCAGACCAGTTTGAGGCACTGTGTGTTGAAGCTGTCCCCCTCCCGACAGGCCACAGCTTCCAGCAGGGCCTGCTTTTTCTGCGTGCTGCGAGATGACTCCAGTTCGTACATGGTGGTCAGGTTGAAGAGGACGCTCTCGTGGAGGTAGAGGGCAGGGTCCTGCTGGACTAGACCTTCCAGCTGGCCCAAGGACTCCTTTAGCCGACCCAGGTAGAGGAGACACACCGCTGCGTTGTTATTGGCCTAAAAAAATAAATAAAATGTAGTAAATTTCACAGAAATCAACTGGACTAACATTTTTTTTTTTTAAGATAAGATTAGATTAACTTTATTGTCCCAAAGGAAATTTGATTTGGGTACAGACTCTGGTGGTTACATAGTCCAAAACTATGTGCATGCACACATAAAAACACTGCTATACTGTAGAAATTCCATTATAAGACAATAAATAAATACATAAGGAAGCATGTTACATTACATTCACAATAAAAAAAAAAATCATAAAAACCCTTCTTTAAAAAAAAATCTATTATATGAGATACATAAAAAACATATCAGTTTAGTTTAAATTTTGAATATCATTGCCTATTCCACAATTTACAGCTTCATACTGTTTATTGCCTTAATGGAAAGTGGAAAAAAAAGGGTTCTTATAGCGGTACAACCTACAGGTGGGGACTCTTAAGACGTTGACCTGAAGAAAGTAACTGATACTTAATAACCAGTCAAGCCCAGAAAATCATCTCAGACCCCACTCATATTCTTTATTGTTTCATTTTTGAAATATTTTTGGTTGTTTCCTTTGTGTGAAAAAAAGGAATTTTTGCAATAAAAAAAATCCAACCAAACTAATTAAAGCTCTTAATGTGCAGGTTCTGATAGTTTAACAGATTATTATACTTACCACAGGGTTTTTTGGGTCAACTTTTAGAACTTCAAGGAAGGTAGCATGTGCTTCAGCATAGTTATTCTGACTGAGGTAGACGAACGCCCTGAAAAAGCCAAAGAAAAAGATTCCTCTCAGATGTATGCACAAATTAAACAAGAAAGTAAAATGTTGTATTGTGTTTTTATAAGCATTACAGTAAAAAAAAGGTCTACACAATGTAAATTAACTGGCATTAAAACAGTCTATATCTCTATTTAAAGTTGTTTGTTTCTGCAATACACTATATGAGGCATTTCCTGTATGCAAAGGAGGCTGGCTAACTACATACATGCAGCCTAACCTGTTATCTATTAGGGGTGAGTATTGACATGGATGTTGCAATAAGGAACATGTCCCGATACAATCTTATCATGATATTATAATATCACTATATAGTGCAATACTTTTCCTATCAAATCAAATTTATAGACAAGCGAGTGCTGTATATGTTTATCAGAAGACATTGATTATTTAGTTATTTTGTATCCCTGTTGTTTGGGGTTTGAGTCAGTCTATGTGTGTGTTCGGTTTCTCAGGCTGCATCCTCAAAGGAAACGGTCTATCTGGACTGGATCCTTCTAGGTTCATGAAAATAAGGAGGCTGGAAGAGTTTGGGCTGTGAATTCAAACAGGTCCGGCCTCCCGCGGCTTTTACCACCGTATGCTCTGTCGCCTAGCAACCGTGACAGTCAACACAAAGCAGGTAAAGAATGAATACCATACTGAACTTCTCACTGGAAAAAAAAACAATTTCTTAAATTAAGTGTATTTATCTTTAATTTGAGTAGGTTGATGAGATAGTTTTCCAATGGAATAAGTATTTTTACTCTTACAATAAGATAATTGGATAATATGCTCATGAAATAAGACAAAACAATATTTTTTTCTTATTTTAAATGTAAATTGTCTTGTTCCATTGGCAAAATGTCTCTTTTACCTCCTCAATCCAAGAACAAATGCATTTATTTTATGAACAAATGACATCTAGATTTAGATTTTTTCCAGTGCTCACTGTTGTTCTGGGTGTTAACATTTTTGAGGAGCTTCAACAGCTGCATCGAATCAGATTTATAGTCCCCAACACTGAAGATATATTAGAATCTGTCCATAAATATCCCAAATAACCCACTTACACAGGGACGGAAAATATTTCAATAAACCAAGCATTATCCCCCACACATCTGACTCAATAACCATTTAAAACAACTATTTTCACATAACTGGATTATATTAAACTGAACTTCCAATATTCACCACTATTTGGTGCAAAGTGCCGTTTTCCTGTGATCACGGAGCAGCCCGCTTACTTGGTCTCACAATAAAACCTGGGATAACCCAGGCTACGTAGGATACACCGGACCCGTCTTTCAAAACGGGCAAAAAGAAGAACACATTTGTCGGCCACATAACGAGGAGTCTTGCAATCTGAACAGACCTCGGCGCCGTGCTATGATGTAATCGGCCTACGAACCTGTCCTTCGGAGGACGCAGCCCCTGAATTTTAATTTAGCCTATGTCTTCCACTGTGACTGCCTCAACTACAGATATGGCGCTACAGCCACAGCAAAAGGGCTCCACAGCGCTCTGCCAGAGCGGTGGTGCAGAGGTAGCCCCTTTTCCCTCACTGTTTTTTTAATCGATGCTAGGAACTGAAATATTAATATTACAACAGGGAGCTAAAAATCATGATATATCCCCTATAACCCCTAATATTCATGTTACGCCTGTTAGTCGCTGAGGAAGAAAAACATCTACAACATGTTGAGTGATAAATACTTTAAAACTAAATGAGGCATTTTCTAGCTCCATATCATTCACATGGGGCGATAGCAGCTAAGGAAGCAGGAGTTTCCCCTGCATCCGCAAGGTTGTCAATTCTGCTTTCAGTGTCAATGTGCCCTTGGGCAAGACATTTCACCAACATTACCTACTAATGATGGTCAGAGGGCCCGGTGGCGCCAGGGTACGGCAGCCTCACTTCTGTCAGTGAGCCTAAGGGGTGGCTGTGGCTACAGTGTAGTTTGGCACCATCAGTGAGTGAGACTGTGTGTAAATGGATGAATGACTGAATGTAGAGTAAATCACTTAGGGAAAGTCCGCTGACATTAAAAAAGTACAGGTCATTTACCACTTTATTATAGTCCATGAATCTTAAAATATATAAATGTTTACATACCATGGCTTAAACAGATAATGCACTTTAGCAGAGGCAGAAATAATTGGGTCATTCCACGAAAACTGTTAAGTTTGGGTCCATAACATTCAAAGAGGAATAAAAAGCATAATAAACCTGTCAGTAATACTTAAGTGTCTAAAGCCATTGATTCAAGTTTAGTTGGTAGCATGAGGTCAAATAAAATTGAATAATAAATATATATTTTGCACATTTATATGTTATTTTTATGTTAAACTGCAATCATTTTCTCATGTCCACCAACACCATTTTTCTCATTCGTGTAATGTAAAACTTAAGAAATATGAAATAAATCTAAAAAAAATGTTGTTGTTATGATTAGAAATACTTTCCTCTTAATAGGAAATGTGTTAATTATATTAAAATGTCATATTTTTTAATTGAAATTTCAATGTCATATTCCACCCCGTCACACCAATGTTATTTTGCGCCAAAATGCAATACACTGCCTAGAAGTGACATCACTAACATGAAGTGACATCATTCAAGAGTTTGAAGAAGAGAAGTCCAAACAATAGTGAGTTCTGTTTTTTCTTTAAGAACATTTTTGGTACATTTTTCCTTCAAAATCCTTTCTGTTAACCATAGCATATCCACCCCGTCACACAAAAAGTGGGGAAAACAATTTGATAATCAAATTTTGAAATTATATTCGTATTTATCATTCATTTTTCATCGTACTTCAACGCTAACGGCACCATCAGGTTTTAAAATATTCAGAAATTGAGCCATATTGCTTTAGATTTTCCACCCCGTCACACTAAAGCCTGTGACGGGTTGGAATCATTGTGATAGGTGGCAAACGTTCTTTATATTTAATTAATGCTGTACATCACATTAAAACATTACAAAAAAAAAAACACTTTGAACACACTATTGTTTAAAAAAAAAAAAAAGACACTTTCTGAAGTGAATAACATTTTTTTTTGTCTTACTTTTATCTAAAATTACCCTTTAATTTGTTAACCTTTATCCTGTGACGGGGTGGAAAAGGAAACTCTGCTCCCTGGATATAATGTGCTAAAATATTCGCAGAAAATGGTGTCTGAGCTTGAAAAATATGTTTTATTGCAAGTGTTACATGTTCTACAGGCTATGAAACTAAAAAAATGATGATCAAAAACCTCTAAATTTAGAGGTCCAATCTTTACACTTTCCATGGGATGACCCAACTGTATTTCTGTTTCCCATGAAGGAAATGAAACCATGCTATCTGTATAGCTTTTTAAAACCTTAAAATAGGAGAAAATCAAGACATGCTTAAGTTCTTATAACAATTTTATGTTGACCAATGCCAATATTTGAGTTTTAAGTTAAATAAGCTGCATTGAATGATCCGATTTTCACCAAAAACATCCTATTTTGGGAAAATGAGCATCTCTGGATTAGGATGCTTGACAAGAACCAACCACCCTCACATAATTCTATAAAATTCAGATCAACATGCAGCATAGCACATACTGCCACCTGCTGGCCACAATGTATACACTAGTTTATTTGCTGTTATCCAGAGGATTAATATGATTTTCTTTCAACATTAATATTTTAAAAGGTTTAATTGAGATTTCTTCAGTAGTTTGCCTCTTCCCCCCATAGAATATCCTCGATCAATATCAACCAAAAACAAGGAACAGCAGAGAAAATAAAATTGCATGGACTGGAATTGTATATCTTTTATTAAAGTATGGTTAGCAGATCTCAGTGTAATTTAACACTCCAAACAACCTCAGGTCGGAGCAGCATGGACATTACCTCCTGTTTCCCGGATTAAGCAGAAATTTGGGTGTGCTGTCTCTCTATAGGTGTGAAAAAACTCTTATCTACAAGTACCTGTTCATTAGAACACATGTAGCGTGACTGACGTTACTGCCTTCCATCTGGTACGCTTTCTCCACATCCTCAAAGTATCTTTCAGCGGTTTTCACATCTCCGATCTGGGAAACAACAAAGCAGCTGCACATTAACTGTCGATCAATCCCTGGGCATGAAAAGAACATTATTTCTAAGTATAAAGGACGTCTAAAAGGGGCTAAAGAAAACATGGATATAAATCCTAGCAAACAGAAATGTATTAGGATGTAAACATTTTCTGACAAGAAAACCATCCCTTCTCTGCACCTTTTTTTATTTCCAGCTGCATCAACTCAGTTCTTACATCAATGACTTCTTATCAAAACACAAGCCATGTTATAATAATCAAAAAGGCAAACTCAAAGAAGATGAAACTGCATCTGGAACAAAATGCTCTCTGTAACTGCTTCGGTTGTGTAATGTAGAACCGTAGCACTCAGATTTGGTCATCAAGAAATAAAGCAAAACCAATTAAAAGTAAGCAGCCTAAAAGTAGAAGAATTTACCTTCTTTTCTGATTTAACTCTATATAGTGTTAGTAAATTATGTCAAAGTAGTAGGAAAATGCAGTGAATTACACTCGGAAATGTATACCTTTAAGTTTTACACATTACTACCACAAACCTCAGTGATGTCCTCTTAGATATTATGTCAAAGGTTATAAAAAGTGGTGAAATGTACAAAAAAAAAGTTATGTATGGTAATTTTTCTTCTTCATATTTTGGTGGCAGCGTCATGCTGCGGGATTCAGTTATTTCAACATGTAAATAAATGAATACAAGGAGCAGGACACCAGTTTTGCTGAGGGCTCTGTCACACATTGACGATTTAGCCTTTGCTTGCCTGATGTCCCAGAATCTTCTAAAACGCCGGAATACGCTGAACTTTCTATGTAGTCTTTCAATTTTGGGCGTATACGTAGAGTATTCATAACGATTCCAGAACTTATGTCCAACGACAGACCAGCTTATGCATAACGCATGGCAGCGTAAGGCCCATGACATTATGCACAAGCCAGTGTCCTGAGGCGGGCAGCACTGTGCCTGCAGGTGCCGGGTCTGCATAAGAAGATTTATTTGATCGCAGTATTAACCTACAGTAGCTGCTGTTGACAACCTGCCAAAAAAAAAAAAAAAGAAAGAAAAAGAAAAGAAATAGGGTTTGCAGTCGCAGTAGATTCAGCTACCAAGTTTGTTGATATATATCTATATCTATATATAGATATATATTTTAAATAAAGCATTTTAAATGCCACGATAATCATATTTAATGAATTTTAATGCCAATTAAGGCCTTAATTTAAAAAAATAATAACTTAATGACTTCTAATGATTTTTAATGACCCGCGATAACCCTGACATAGCCAAGTGGCCTGAATCATATTGGAAAAAAAATCTGAACTTCAGACTGCCATGAAAAGATCAGATACAGGTCGCATATGTGCAAAAAAAAAAAAAAAAAAGATGGATTTGGATCACTACAGGCTGCTGTGTGAACGTAGCCTTAATGAATTCATCTAACAAAACAAAAGAAAACTAATGGCCATAAAAAACAACTTTTCCTCCAAATATTAATAGTTTGTTTGCTGTCTTAGTATGAGTCAATAATTTCATTAAAGCCTCTTTAACAGAAAATAAAGGACATTTTATATTTAATAATAAATCATGTGTCCAAGGAGTCTTATATTCCGTTCATCTATCTGGTGGTGTACAGACCTGCAAAAAGATGCGACCAATACCACTGAGCAGCTGCACTCTCTGCTGGGGTTCATACTGGATGATGGAGTGATAGGTCTCCACTGCCAGAACAAAGTCCTGAAGACAAATGAATTCCAAAAAAAGCAATAAGCTGTGAGAACAAGTACTAGAAAAACAGTGAAACAAAAGACAAGGGTGGAGAGAGGTAAGCTAAGCAGAGTTTGTTCATGGGGAGAGTCTAATCAAACATTTGGAGTATTAGCAGGACGCTGTGACCCTCCTCCCACCCTGATGCTGTGCTGTGATGCATCGCTCACTTAGTGACTGGAATAGTAAGCGACACGACACAGAGAGGTCAGAGAGGGCTGTGTGCAGGCCTGGCGTGTGTGTACCGAGCTGAGAGGGCACAGGAAGGGTGGACTGAACATGTCGGTGCATCTGAATGCTGTTTGGAACAAAACTCAAACTTCTGACTTTGCCTTTAAAAATGAGTTTAACCTGAATCCAACCTTCATTTCTTTATATTTTGCTTTTAAAGGACCCAGAAACCTTTAGAGTCTTGATCTTAAGTTCCTCAGGCTTTTGAAATGCTGTTCAAGGACTATCTGTAGACTTTGAAAAGAAAAGCATCCTGAACTCAAAGGATGAGCCAGTATTGTTTCAACACACGACAGAAAACCAAAGTAATAAAAAAACAACAGTTTCTGGCAAATTTCTAGACAATTTGTTGTTTTTGTATTTGTTCCCATTTCTAAACTCAAAACCATAAAGACTTACACCATGAATATTGTTATTATTGGGAGAGTGTTGGCCTAGTGGTTAGAGCAGTGCGCTTGTGCTCTGAGAAAGTTGCCAGTACCTGGTTTGATCCCAGCAGCCTCCACTCTGGGTCCCTAAGCAAAACCCTTAACCCCACACTGCTCCCAGGGCGCCACACAATGGCAGCCCACTGCTCCCCAAGAGGATGGGTTAAAATGCAGAGAGTGAATCCTTGACTGGGCCGCCTTCTACAGTTGCTTTTTGTATCTCTGCTTCTGTCTCCTTGAACCCCAGTAGGCCTCGGCAGATGGCCGCTCACACTGAGCCTGGTTCTGCTGGAGGTTTCTTCCTGTTCAAAGGGAGTTTTTCCTCTCCACTGTCGCTACAAGCATGCTTTGTGTGAGGGATTGTATTTGAGTCAATGAGTCGATGCAATCATCTGGTTTTCCTTAGATAGAAAACTTTGAATCAATTTGACTGTATGATCTGGTTGAACTGTAAAGTGCCTTGAGATGACTTGTGTTGTGAATTGGCGCTACAGAAATAAACTGAATTGAATTGGATTTCCTCATTGTGGGACAATAAAGGGATTCATTTTTTTATTGTTATTATTTTTCATTAAAAGTTGGCCAGATGATGCTTCCTTACAGAGTCTCCAGGATCTGGAGGATCAGGAGCATATAGGGCTGAGAAATATGGCCAAAAAAATGAAATATTTTTCTTTCCCTTTAGTTTTTTTCATGATAAAAATTGACCAAAATCAGAACTTACTCTAAAAAACTGGCCTTTATTCCAATTGTAGCTAAATCCAAGCTGTCAAAAATGCTTTTAACTGCACTGGAAATACCTAAAAGGATTCCAAGGAAGTCTAGCTGGTTGGAAGCAAATATTTTGAAATATACAAATTTGGGATGCCTAAAATCCTTGTGTTCAGACTGAGCGCTGTGATTTCTGCGAGCCCCACAGGGAGTTTACCGCTCTGCATTTCAGATGCACAGTGTTTCCACCCCAGACCGCCTCATCAATGGGAGGAGCTTCAGCTGTATCAAGCTAACACCTCACCCACATGAAAAAACTCAAAATAAATAGACTGAATGGTTAGCGCTTGTTAGTCAAAGTTTGTGAAGCTAAAATTATCAATTGTAAGAATGAAAAAATTTAATTAAGATCATGTGTGCTACTTGTGTTTCAGACATATTATTATTGTTTTTTTTATCCTGAGTTTAACTATTGAATAAAAATCATCTACGTTTTCAGTGCTTTGATTTTTAGGATGGGATCATATTTAATTGTGGCCAATGATGTCGCCACCTCGGTACTCGTTTCTTTATAGAAACTTATTGAATAACATCACATGTCATTGCTGTGTTGGTACTGAAAAAAAAATCTCTCTCTCTCTCTCCTCCTAGATTCTTTGTTTTGGACCTTCCGTTACCCATGGCAACCCCATAGCATTTCCTGTCAAGTTCTTGTTGTCGGCATTTCACAATAAAAGCACAGGTGAAAATTAAATTAATGCAGCAGCCCATGAAGTTAAGTTTCACCGGGGCTTTTATTATTAAATTGTTCTCTATGCACAGCTTTTAAATCGTCTTGGGAGTACCATACATTTTTGGAAAAGCTCCAAAGGCTCTGAAAGAAAAGAGAATCCTCTTTGGTTCATCTTAATGTTGGTAAGATTCAGCAGCACTTCCTTGTAAATCTATCGCAGTAAGCCCTGTTGCTGGAGAGTGGGCAGGGACAGACTGTGGTCTGTGCTGGAGGTAAGAGAGGATGACCAACAGTCCTTCTAAGACTAAATAAAAACCTCTTTTTTTTAAAGCCACCTAAAAATCTCTTCAGAGCATTCTGCATTTCCTCCTTTGTTAATATTATTTTCTCTTCATTCAATTTTAACAGAAAAAAGCTTGATCCTGGCTGCTTATTCACATAGAACCGGTCCTTGATTGGTTGCCGCGGTGCAATTTCATAGAAAGTTCAGTTTGCATAGGGGTACTATGTAAATCTACCGCCATTGCCGTGGAAACCTTGCTTGGTCTGAATGCACCTTTAACACAGCATCAATAATGAAAAACAAATGTTTTATATAAATCTTCACATCTAAACTAAGCTGATATCTTTCTAGTTTGTTTTGTCTTGCAAGAGAGTGACAATAAAAAAAGGTGATAAAAATGCTGAGGATTAGAAATCAAAGCCTGGAAAGGAGCTGAGCTGATTGTGATCTCATCTCTCAGCAGTAGATGGCACTGTGTTTCTCTCTACGGCTCGTTCTGAGCCCTCACCAACACCACCACTCCCCTCCTCTCTCCGCTCGTTCTTTCTCCGACCAAGAATCCAATTAGTGGTCAGTCTGTGGGGATTTCACTGTGAATCCACCACCAGCCTGGCATCAGAGATCTCCGAGACTCACACCCACAGTGACACACGAACACACGAACCCACCTTCATCAGCAGCAGGCAGTTGGCCGTGGAGTACATGACCCGGCTGAGGCGAGACCTCCACAGCTTTAGAGATGCTATAAACAGGAAAGAGAAATGGTGAAAAAGGGAGGGGTTCAATGACTTTCTATTTTCACTCCTATTGCTTTTTGGGTATTCCTGAGATCCTTTAGTTTTATGAGAAACCTCCACACTCATGGTCCTCTCATTACAACCAGATGTAACTCCTGGGTTATTTTAAGGCAAGGTGCTGAAGAAGACACTGCGGCACATTTCCTCTTTGTCTGCTGTGGGAAGAGCCTGTTACTATTCATCACTGTGTTTGTGGGAGACGGAGCGGAGGGAAGAGCTAATCACTCAGTGGGGTTCTGATGTGTGAAGGCAAGGCCCTGCGTTATCGACTGTCTGTGTGGGTAGGAGAGAAAGAGGACGCAGCGTTATGCTGCTTTTGTTAGGAGAAGAAACTGGCTGAACTGAGGCGCCCTCACGGATACAGTCATACATGCGTCAGCCGGCTAATTTTCCACCATTTAGCTCAGATGTAACAATTGTCGGGCACATTTTTAAACTGATAAACTGGAGAAATATTTAGTAGCCTCATGGTCTCCAATTGTGGGTCTGATTTAACTTGGGTGGAGGTGCAGCTGGGTAAATTTCCCCCGCACAAACTAGTGCAAATGTGAGTGGCTTGGCAGGATTGATCTATATTGATCCGAATGGCGTAAAGAGCTGTAGAAAGCATTTAATATTCAGTGAGAGTGGCAGAGCTGTGAGAGGCTAATAAGAGGCTTTGGTTGAGACTGTGTGACTGTATGTGTGTCTGCTGCAGTCCTACGCCAGGTGTGCATCTGGTTTAACTGTTCAGGCCTGTGACCCGACTCTCCTCCCATGATGCGATGCAGTCTGGGAACACAGCCAGGTCGGATTCTCTGCGGTGTGTTTGCTTACCTTGCCTGTTCTCCTCTGCTATGGTGATCATGCTTCCATCCTCTGCTAAGCTTTTCTCCAGGTTTTCCAGGATCTGTGCAAGCATGGGATTTTAAATAACTAGCAGCATTTTAAACAGCACCAGCACATTAAACAAAACAGAGTTCTCTGATTATATTTAGCTTTTTTTTTTAACCAGGGTTTCTGCAAATATTAAAGAATTAAGTTCACCACCTATATTTACAATCAAAATTTATTCTAAAACTTTAGCATTTCATAGCTGCTGTTCTGCTTGTTCAGAACTTCTGCACCTTTTTTAGGTAAGGTGTAAATCCACAGCTAAGTTCCTGCTTTCAATCTAAACCTTATTTAACCCTTTAAAGTCAAGAGTATCATATTTGATACATGAGATTTGAGACATTTGCAACATCAGTGGGATGTTTTTGTTCTTAAAACCCTGACCTACACAACCAGAAATACTCAATCACATGGAGTGTTGGCCTAGACGTTAGAGCAGTGGGCTTGTGCTCTGAGAAGGTTGCAAGTACCCGGTTCGATCCCCACAGCTCCACTCTGGGTACCTGAGCAAGACCCTTAACACCACACTGCTCCCGGGCACCACACAATGGCAGCCCACTGCTCCCAAAGAGGACGGGTTAAATGCAGAGGTAAATTTCTCCAATGTGAGATCAATAAAAAGTTCAATTATTCAATTAGTGAACTAAAATGCCTGTATCAAAATTGTTCCAAATAAATGATCTAATTCAACTTAAATAAAATCCAATTTTTTTTATTTAATTTGTCAGAAAGTTCAATGACGATTCTCATTGTGAAAAAAATTGAATAACTTTCAATTATTTCATGATTCAGTCTTTAAAGGGTTAATATGCACTTGCTCAAAACATAGGAAAAGGTGCATAATAACAGAAATAATGTCTATATTTTCTTTTTTTTTAATCTAACATTACCAAAGCAGAAACTAGGTTACAATAAGAGGTTTAAATAAATAAAATCTAAGATTTGGTTAAAAAAAACTGGATGGAATCAAATAAGATCATTTTGGTTTTAGGGGGAGTAATTATTTTCAATATGTGAAATATTTTCTGTAAATGTTCCCAACCTTTCAAGATCTTAAATTAAATATTTACAGACCATTCATATTTATTTCCCCTATGTTTTTTCTTTATTTTAACACATTTATAATATTGACATTAATAGGTAAAATTTTAAGATTTATGTTTAGAAGTTTAAAAAAAGAGATTTAATTACATTTTATTTTCATCTCAACTTCAAAAAAAATTTCTAAGGACATTTTTTATTCTACCTTTTACATGCAAACTTAAACTTCCTTTTTATATATACTTTTAAGAATGTGCGAACTTACAGAATCACTGTAAGCAGATTCAAGTTAATTGGTGATTTTTTAAATGTTAATGTTGCTTAGGTAAGAATACTTTTTTAAAGTACAAATCCAAATTTCTCAGTTTTTGTTGGAGGACTTAGACATTTAAGGCAACTTCTTTTATGTACTCTCAGAAATTCCTCTTTAAACACTGTTATGCAGTTTTTAATAACACAAAGGCTAAGAAAACTACTTTAGAGGTAAATATGCACTTTTTTTTAATAAGCTGTATTCTTTGAGGTCTTAATCTTAAAACTTTTAACTAAATCAAATTTTATTTTATAACTTCAATCAGTTTTGGATTTTTTCCCCCCCTTCAACTGTACAAATAATACTTTTTAAAAAAAAAGGTTAATTTCAGAACTCAGAAATGCAGCAAAACTTGGTTTTATAAATGTTTATCTAAAAACTAAAATGCAATATTAGGAAATTATGATAGGGACTGAGCAAGTCTTCTGAAAATAACGTTTTAGGCTCAACAAGAAACCTTTATCATCTTCAAAAAGAGGTTCGCCATTTATTTATTTTTTTGTTTATTTTCATACTTGCCAAGACCTAGTAAACACTTCTCACAAGGATTTTAAGACAAAATGCTTTTTAAAATAAATAAAAATGTAAAAATTTGATGCAGGTTTAGAGACTTTTAAAATTGTTAAAACTTTATCTTGAGGCTGTGTTGGTGTTTGTGTGTTTCTGTACTAACAGCGAGGCAGACGGTTTTGAGTTTGTGCAGACGGTCCAGAGCCTCCCGGGGTTTGGCCAGGTACTGGGGGAGCTCGGCGTGCAGCAGCCGCATGGAGAACGGCACCATCGATCCTGGATGGGTGACGATGTTTGAAGGGGTGAACAGAGAGAGAGAATGTGTGAGGAAGAAGGGACAATATGGAACAGGGAGGGATGGGAATGAAGCAGGAGAGTGAAGACAGAAAGATGAGAATATAAAGCCATCCACCCACACACAGACTGTACACAGCCCTGGAGGCAGGAACCTACAGATGGCACCGAGCTACGTATGGCTGCTTATTAAAGCCTCTCATCTCTCCATCTCTGTGTGCCGCACAGCTCCATCACTCATCTCCCTGCTCATCCCTCTGCCTGCCTCTATATCATTCACACTCTTACACACACATCGGCAGACAGACAGACACACACACACACCCCTCTGAGCAAAAGCCTGTGTTCAGGTGAGTCCCCAGGCTTTGATCAGGGTCTCTTTGATACTGTGATCTGATCTGAAACTCTGCGAGCTACTCCATCTTTGGCTGCTGCTTCTGCTAGTCTATGTATCTCAGTTTCTATCTATATTGTCTATCTGCTTGTGTTCGCCATCTAAAAATGGAGGACATACCCCCCATTAAACAAGACATAGTGCCTGCACTAACTGTCCTTTTTTTCTGTATTTAATTTTAGTATTTTAATCAGATTAAAATGTTATTCTACTTATGTCAGATCAATTGTTCAAAAGAATTCTGTGTTTTTTCACAATGCTTTTGAAGGTCTGGATAGTTATATTGTCAAAATCCAGGTCCGTTGTCATTTCTGACAAGCTGCTGTAAAGACAACGTCTTGATTCTGTAAATCGTTAGAACATCACCTATTCACCCATATGCAGCTCTCTGTGCTTATTGCTCATCTGCTGCCTTTTGGTTCTTTAAAATGCTAATTGAAAAAAGTTGGCGGACTCTTCTATTAACCCTCTGAAACCACAGCAGTCCGTTGGAAAAAGTTCTTCTGGCTTTAGCCTTAGCACTTGGTTAAAGTCGTAGGGAAGTCATATTTAAATGCCAAATCATTCTGGCTTAAACATGTATATAAATGTACTCTTTATCAGACTATGTTTTCCCAAAATTTTAGAAAATTTCTATAAAAAAAAAAAAACTGTTTTTTTCTCGTTATCTTATGCAGGCCAGTTAGTTATATGTCAGCCTGAACACCTAAATTCGGCCAATCAAGTATCAAAGGTCGTCTGTCAATCAATTGTTTCGGCGATGGCATCCTCATCCATATGTCGCAGCTAATAGGCGCAACTGTTTAAATAAGAGATAAGAATCATTGACTTCACCATTGGTTTAGGTCCCAGTGTTCACGGGGATGGACGTCTGTGTCTTCGGCAGGCGTAGAGATAACAGAACTGGCAGCGTTGCAAGGCAAGGGCTCAAACATGTAAGGCTGTAAGCCTTCTACACAAAACCTCTTTCACAACATCTTCGTTCCCCACTTTCCTCCTCTAAATAAAACATGTATGACGGAGGAAACTCATCCACGACCTCCGACACAAAACTCTCCTCCTCTTGCATGTTTCCTCTGTCCATAGCGTTCCTTGACAGTGTCGTCTCTAAGTCACCAATTTAGTGCTACTTGGTCGCAATGGAATTTCCCATTGGGAACCTACTAGCACTAAGTTGCTAACTGGTTTGTAAGATTCTTCTGAGACTCCGTAACGAAAAAAAAAAAAAAAAAAAAAAAAAAAAAAAAAAAAAAAAAAAAAAAAAAAAAAAAAAAAAAAAAAACAGATTGTAAGACAGGATTTTTTTTCAAATAGAAATGTTCTAACTTTTGGGACAATATCGTCTGATAAAGAGTACATTTATATAAATGTCTAAGCTAGAAGGATTTGACATTTGAATAGGATTTTCCTAGGATTTTAACAGTTAATCAGTTGCTAAATTAGTCAATGATTATTTCCATAATACATTAATCGCAGTTAATCTGACTATTTATTATCGTACTAGTACTAAGTAATAGAGTCCAGTTGTTGCTGATGGATGGTTCAATAGGATGTGAGGAAAAATAAAAGCTGGTTAAAGACAGATAGCAGGCAGAGCAGCAATACAAGGTTAGATATTTATATTTAGGAATACCTTGCTGAAAAAAGTTGCTTTTTTTATTCTGCTTTGATTTGTTTCTCTTGCGCTGACTCCATGTTGGCATTAAAAAAAATGATATAACTAAGGCAAATAAGTCTCTTCTGAGCAGGCTTAATATTAAAACAGGTAATTTAGTCTCTGCTTGTTGGTGTTTACAATCCTAAAAACAGAAAAATGTCTCATAAAAATGTATTAAATAGAGTTTAATTAATTGGGAAATGTGTGTTAATTTAGATAGGGGTATTTTACTTAAAGAGTGAAATTACTTCTGTCTCTAGGCTTTCACTTTAAGAACAAAACAAAATGCAAACAGACTCCTTACTCGAGTCATCAGTCGATCTCAATCCTTTAGGAGATCGATACAAGGGGCAGCCGTCTCTTAAGGCGTTCACAGAATATGATCGCGAGTAATAGAGAGTTGATGCAAGGCCTTGAGTAAAGATATGTTCGAATTCTGATGCCAGGCAACACATCTCACGCCAGTTTGTCTCTGAACACCTAGCAGGGCATAAAGCGTTTAATATTGAGCAATGGAAAGTCAATCGGTGCTCTCTTTAGAAAGCTGTGCAGTGTATTTTCAAATGTTGTGTATGTGCAGCTGTGTCTCTGCTGCTGCCTTCACTGTGGTAGCCCGAGGGGCGAAGCAGATCCAAAGTAATGGGAATACATTAGAGAGCAATTCATGCAGTGGAAAAGGAGGAAAAACAAAACCAAAGAACTGCTGGAGACAAGTTGAGCTGTTGGAGCTTCTCAATGATACAGCCTGATATCAAGCTTGTGGCAGAACTTTCCTTTGAATATTTAACAGGACAGCAGAGTTGTGCTTCTGTAACCAAAAAACTTGGTTCAAACGAAAAAGCTTGAATAAGAGCATACTTTTAGAACTAAGCTAAGAGTTTTAAATCAGCTTTTCAATGCTGGCATTAATAATGCCCTTAAAGATGAAGTTCTCTCTAAGCAAATATGGAAAGTGCTGTGAAGTTTCTACCTTACAGTGTTTGACCTGTGTGATATAAAATTAAAAGTGTAACTCGAATCTAGAATGTAAATACCAGAAGCAATATAATGTATGTGTCCTTACCTCTCCTTCCAGGGTAAACAGATGGATAATACTCATAGTAGAGATCTGGTTGGTCTAAGTTGCCAAATGGTTCGAACTCCAGTTCAGCATTGTGGAAAAGGTTCAACTTGACTAGCAGAGACAGTCGGACAAACCAAAGCTGGAAAATACAGAAAAACAAATAAAAAAAGGAGTTTCTAAGAATATACATAAGCCTAGATTTGTTTTCTGAACGGCCTCCCTCTATATAAATGGCTGTAGTGTTGGTTAGTGTCATTTGAGATAACTACAATAGAACTTCATAAGCAAACTGAAATAAATTCCTTCTCTTTCCTCTCCAAATATCAAACGTAAATTAAATCAATTAAGAAATAATAGTTATGTTCTTTTAGCACTGTATCAGAAATAAATCTTTTTTTTTTTCCCAAAGTCCAACTAAAAAATCTGAAGTAAAGAAAGTTGGAATATATCATTAGCATTTTCTGATCCATGACAAAGGAACCAGATGAAAAAATAACAAATAAATCTGTAAAATAGAATAAGTTGATCACCAAAAATGACAACATTTTTTCAAGTTGGACATCGAAAGACTTTGGCCATTTCTCAATTCATAAGAACGACAGTACAGACTCGTGTTCTCGCCAAGTACGTTTTTGACAAGAACACAGGAAAGTGTGGACTCAGGGAGAGCGGGAGAACGCTGAGTAAATATGGGTCCATTGGAACAGAAGCGTAACCGTGCAGTCATCACACGCTCGGCTAGTCTGGAGCTGCATTTCACCTCCTGTTATTAATAA